TTAACTACAAGATTAGTCCCTAAGCTTCAACTATAAATACCCTAACTCATTTAACTTCAAAATCATCCCAAATCATTTATTTCTCCCAATATTAGAGAGTTTTCTTGTGAGTAGTGAGTGTTTTGTAAATACCTGTAAATTTTCTCTCTTTAGTAAAAGATCTGTAATAGTCCGGAGAAGTAGACAAAATTGACTGAACTCCGTTATCAATTTCGGGTATTATTTTTCCGCTTTTATTTCGCATTATCACTAATCTGATTATAGGGAAATTACTCGTTACTCGTTTATTTCCCAGCATGACATACCATTCATAGTCATTTTCTCTTCATCTGCATCAAGGAGTTCACTAGTCTCCCCTCGAACAGGAACAAATACTCCAAGTTTGAAATCTGAAAAATATTTCAGTTTTGTGGCTGCAAACAATATTTTAAAACCAAAGAAAATAAAAAAATGGCGTTAGCTTGCAGACACTGATTCACATTCCTTAATTCACGGGCAATACAACCATACAAATGAAATCAAAAGGCAAAACAGAAAATTACAAAATGAATCTTCCATGTTATCTGAGGGCTGAAGCAAAAAATTATCTCTTTCTTTGGACTGCATTTCATTGAACAAAGCAAGGTCGTCATCTTTTTCATGTACATTCAACACGCCCTCCAAGCTACACCATCTTTTGTGGGTTCCCCCTCTCAGCTCCCTCCCTGGAGAGTGTGTCAATGCTAGAGAAGGAGGCATCTCAGCTGCCCTAATCTACCCTACTGAAACAATAACAGCAATCGTTCCACCAATCTAGTAATTAACCAGTAATCTTGCCCCATAATTTACTCCCAACTCACCCTTTCCATGTTTTCTTCCAAGAAACAAATGCATTCAACTTCAAAATAACTCAAAACAAGGGTGCAATGCCCACATTGAAACAGAATGCTTGATAGAAAATCAGCAGCAGCGGTAATTGAACAATAAGCACGAATTTGAGATGGAAAATAGCCGCCAAACTGAGATGCTCATAATGAAACGCAACTTCAGAACCCTAGATATTCATCAAAATTAACAGTAAAACGCCTACATTGACCAAAAAAACCCAAAGTCAAAATTTTCAGCCACTAGTAACCTTCAGGAAGAACCTTTCCAGCACCGCTCAAAATTAGTGACAAAGTCAATTCACTCGAGGTCCGAGATTTTCAGCAAACAAGAAAATGAAACAAAAAACATAATATGTTAAAACTCAAAATGGAACCCATAAAAATTCAAAATTTTGGATCTAATACAAACTTAAAATTGAATAAAGGAAATTAAAAAGCATCAACCAAGCTCTAGCAAACAATAAAAATAAGGAAAATCAATAGAATTCAAGGGATCTAAGAACTTACCAGATCGGAATAGCAAGAGAAGGTGAAGATGTTGAGCATGAAAGTGAGAGAAGGTTAAGGAGATTAAAAAGCATTAACCCAAGCATATGACAAAACCTTTCTGGTAATGAAAGTGAGACTGTGAGAGACGAACGAAAGAAATTGGGGATTTGTTGTTTCAAAGATAGGTTTTTACTGTTTCTTTTTTTTAAATTCATGCAAAATATAAAAAATTCGCGGCATCTGGAAAAACACCACCACCAAAGAACTTTAAAAAGTTGCGACGTTTGCAAATAAAAGCGTCAAAAGAACTGAAATAAAGGCATTTGTAACTCAAAATGCCACTAATGTACCGATAAACTGCAGCGTTTATTAAAAAAGTCACTAAAGTATTAAGATGTAACGGTGTTTGTCTAAAACGTAACTAAAGTATGACTCTATGACGGTGATTTTTAATAAATGTAGCTAAAGTACTTGTATGTCGCAGTGTTTGTGAAATAAACGCCGCTAAAATATGAGTTTTAGCGGCATTTGTAAAAAACGCCGTTAATTTTACCATTTTGTGGCGTTTGTGCAAAAAATGCCACAAACGATTACTCTATTTTGCCAAAAGAAGTTAGGGTTTTATTAAAGTTTGTGGCGTTTATAGACACAAACACCATCATTTATCATTTTATAACAGTGTTTTCTAAAAAAAGCTTTTAAGGTACACGTCTGTCACAACATTTGTTCAAAAATTCCAATATATATGAAATCTTTTGTGGCATTTGTGTAAAAAAGGCCAATAAAGAATGATTTGGTGGCGACGTTTGTCTAAAAATGCCACGATACATGTACCCTATTGCGGCGTTTGTTTAAAAACGTCTGTAAAGAACGATAAATGTCACTAAAGTACAAGTTTTAGCGGTGTTTGTTGAAAAACACCGTTAATGATACTATGTAGTGGCATTTTGTATATTAACGCCACGATATGTATAAATTTAGTAGTGTTTGCTTTGAAAACGCTACGACAAACGCCGCTATATACCTATTTTATTGTAGTGATTTAAGTTTTATTATAGTGTCTAAAAATACACATTACAAGACAAGAGCCTAAGAACAAATATGTAAAGGCAGGTCTCTTATGAGATGCTAAAATTGCTATCAATGCATCATTTGAAACTATTTCAGCAATAAACAACCGGTTTTGATTTTTTTTTAATATTTAATTAAATTTTAAATCCTAAATATTATTAGGTGAGAACATTTGATAATCTGTAAGATAATATCTGTTAAAAAATAATTCTTAACCATTTGATATTAAATACTCGTACCTCTAACATTCATGATGTTTGAACCCATGACCTCAGTTTGAACCCATGACCTCAATGAATAATAGTTTATTTATCATGAAGGTCTCTTGATTCGTACGTATTTAACATATATTATGATAAGCAATTCACCCAAAAGGGAAAATTTCCATGTTCTTGTGTGTCGAAACCGTCTTTCGGTTGGGCCCGAAATTGAGCTTCAACTTAGGAAAATTGGATTAGAGTCACCACCGATCATTTTAAATTATTTAGGCTGATCAGACACCATCTTACCTGATCTGCGTTTTACCAGAAATGTGTCAAATTCGAGAGTCGGTTACGGTCAAGGAATGATTAACACCATTGAATTGCCATTTCGGTACCAATTAATTTATCGGTTGTCTTTATTGCGAAAATTTAAATTGAAATTTAAAACATCGATTCGAATAATTATCTTTGATTAATTAAAAATTCCCCTAAAAAAGAACATAAAAATGTTAAATAAAAAAATAAATACTAAATAAATTAAAGGGGTAAAGGAAAAAAATAAATTAATTAATTAAGAGAAGAAAAAATGTTAAAAAAATGTAAAATATGGAATAGAAACGCAGGCTCCAAGAAAGTCTTTACAACCCCACTTTCAATGTCCTTCAAATACTCTGTATACGAATGAACGGCTTCCTCTTCCAGATACCCAACAATTCTATGTGATACTGGGAGAAAGCAAATAAAGAACAAAGAAGGAATTTAAGAACACTCCTTGCACAGGCACCTGACCGCTGCTTAAACTGCAATGACATTCACCATATCTGCATCATTAGCACGAACTCTATCAGATGAGTTTTTAGGAATCACCCACTCCAACTTAACCCCACGTTTACCGGTGTTGGAACCCCGAGCAACTAGCCATGATGAAAATCCTCGGCACCTGAACTTTGAAAAGCTCGAGAACCCATCACCGAAATGCCAATGCTGTGATTGGAAAGCGGGTAACAGCATGTAAGAGATCCACCGTAGTTTCCATCACAACCGGGCAAGTCTTGTTTCACAACCCGCTTCACTCAAAGAAGAGTCCTCAAAATCATATAGACCGATGACGTTGTCGTTGGAGATACCAAAGTAGTCGTTTTTTGTAAAACCAAAGCCGTTCAAGTCATTGTACTGACGACAACCGGCGGTTCCGGGGAAGTCCACGAGTACACCGTCGGATAAAAAATTGAGAACTCGATAGGTTTCAGTGCCGATACGGAGGTAAAGGGTAGTGGAATTCAAGCACGAAAGACGGATAACTGTGAAAATCGAAGGACAAGAAGCGTTTAAATGAAATGAAAATGGGATGTGAGGACTTTCGCATATGTCATCGCACTGTTTTGGTAGCAAAGACATGGTCGGTTGATTAAGAAACAAGAGAGAAAACGACACTAAAAGTAAGGCCACCAGTCGATCCATGGCTTTCCCCAGAGATGGTCGAATCATGCTCGGGTTTCGACCATTTTTCAAACAAGACCCATGAAAGAGAAGAACGAAGGTAGCCACGTAGCGAAAAGAGGTGATGCGTAGCATAAGAGTGCGGCCATGGAAGTTGGGGAAGTGAAGAAGATTGGTCTGAGAGAGGTTTCAAGAAGAAGATCATTCGTTTGTAAATATGCTCCCCCTTTCAATAGTAAAAGCCCAGAGGTTATATAAAAGAGAGAAGAAGAGTTGATCTCTGCGTGACCCCTGCTACCCCAAATTGCTCCGTGATTTCTTCATGGATGTACGCATGTGGTAGTAGTTGTGGAATGGTGGAGATAGTGGGGTTGATGGGATAGTGAGATTGTTACACATGGGACCTGAAAGCAAGAAAAGAAAAAAATTAAATAATAATAATAATAATAAATAAATATTTTTTAAAACCCAGACAAAAACGAGTGTCTATATTGTATCGGCCTAAAACATCATACTGTTAGAATATATGATTACATTAAGACAAAGTTAGGCTTTTGAGTCTGATTAAAATGCTCTTCCACATGCAAATGTTAGGCTTTTGCTTTTACTTCTATGAAGCGGAGAATTCGGAATTTTGATTCTTCCATTGGAATAAACTTATAAATAATTAGTCCAAGTTATCGTTGCGGGTCGTTGATGGCTACTAAACCCAAAGGCCGTAACCCAAAACCAAAAGGCAAAGACACAAGGCGTAGAAGCGTCACCCACCTTTGATGGCTCAGCAAAACGACATGCAAACACCGACCCACAACGCCACGTTTCGTCCAAAAGTGTAGCAGATTATGTTGCTTTAACGTGTGGTCATCACATTCCTCTACCTAAGAAGATCTCCCCCGATATTTTTTTTAATCTATTTGATGAATTGGATAATTAGGAGAAAAATAAAAGATATTTTCTATATTATTCTTGTGTCGCCAGCAAAGGTTGGAACTGAAACATTCAATTCCTTTTTTTTTAGTTCGAATCTCTTACAGAAATGGCGGCAGTGACGAAGCTTCAGTTATTTGCTTACCAGAAGGACCAACAGTTTTGTTTCAAGGAACAACAACGGAGCAACTGGCTTAAAGTTAAACGTGGTTGTTTTGTACGGTTGCCCTTTCCAACTAGAAACCGTCATGGGGCGTACGTGCAGAAGTGTCGGTCTTTTAGGGGAGATGATGGAGGGGAAATGAAAGAGAAAGAGATGGAAAGCGAGAGAAAGCTTGGGATTTTGATGGAAAATGAATTGAAGCTGGAAAAAGGGGATGGGTTCTGGAAATCTTTGAAATCTGCTGTTTTCGGGGTTAGTAAATTGGGCTCCCAATCTCAAGATGACTATGAAAAAGCTGTGGCTAAAGTTGATGAAGTTTTCTCCTCGGTGAGTTGTATGTAATTGTAAACCGTCTTAATCAATTGCATGCCTCTCTTTTTCTTTATGATTCATGTTCAATTAGTTGTAATCACGCTCCATAATCTGTTTAACAATTGAGTGTATGCTTGCATGTTTAACTGAATTCCCATGTTCTTGGTGTCTACTACTGGCTGATTTGAGTCATCAGCTTGTTGTAATATTTCAAAGCTAAACTTGGATATAACCTTTGGGGTTCTTTTCCCTCATGAACCAGATTGCTATGCAAATTGGAAGATATATCGTGACCATGATGAGCACTGGAGTGATTCTCTTGACTGGTTTTCAGTTGTCAGGTTAGCTAATGTACTTGTGCATCTTTGAATTGATTTTGGATGCCCTTCAAGGAGTTATCTGTCTCTGAAAGTTAAATATTTTTTCTATAGGTGGAGACGGTCAGATGAATACATTGATTTGGTATAGCTGGGTTGGAGGGGTTATCATTGGAACCATGATTGGAGCAAATATGGTTCTAGATGAACACTGTCGAGCTGGTCCTAGAAATGTTGTTATAACTGGAAGGTACAATATATAAATTTGCCCATCATATTTGATTTGTAATTTCTTTACAGTTTTTGTTTAAGACCTGAGATCATATCTAGTTAGAAACAAAATTTTAGGCAGATGTGTTAATGGATCCATGGTACAGAGAACTTACCCTTTTTGTTGGGCTGTGGTTGTGTTTTTGACCGCCTGATTTAGCACAAGAGGATTGGGAAAAGCACTTGCTCGAGAATTTCTTCTTTCTGGAGATCGTGTTGTCGTTGCGTCTCGCAGGTGGAGTACAAATAAAATTTAAGCTAGTTTTTGATATTAATAATTTATTTTCAGTTATTATTATTATCAGTATAGTTCTCACAACAACTTTTCCTTTTTGGATCTTGTTAAGACAGTCCCGAGTCCGTTGATATGACTGTCAAAGAACTTGAGGAAAGCCTGAAGGAAGGTATGACTGCCGGTGGCTCATCCAGCAAGAATCTGAAACAAGCGAAAGTGGTTGGTATAGCATGTGATGTTTGTGAAGCAGATGATGTCGAAAAATTGGCTAACTTTGCCATCAGCGAACTTGGTTCTGTTGACATTTGGGTGAGTTGTATAGCCTAACTTTTTCCGACTGTCACTCTCTTCCCTTGTATGCCATGTGAACGCGTGCATACAAGATACAATAGTGCGTCGTGTTAGCATGTTGATGCTATTGGGAAGCGATGTTAGATCAATTTTTGGAGGAAGTTGAACAACCATGTGCCTATTATCAATTAATTTCGACTCTTAACTGTAAGAAGTGTAATAAAGCCGTGCATGCTGGTATAATTAAACTGAAATCTATTTTCTATTTAATTAGGACATAAGATGCTGAGCTTAAAATAATTTTTCATGACAGAAGTGATGAGACTGTTGATGATGACTATGCAATTGTTGTGTATCTAAGTAGCTGCCATGCAGTACCTGTTTGTTGGGGCTTGACAAAGAACATTTATTTGTGTGCTAAATGTGAGATTTGTTTTTATCACATACAGATAAATAACGCTGGCACTAACAAAGGTTTTAGACCACTACTGCAGTTCAGTGATGAAGATATTAAACAGGTATCTTTTATTTGTTAGATATGTTATTTGAGCAATTCCTCCTTTTGGCATTTCAATAATATGTAATATTCTCACAAACGTGTAAGCTTCATAGTAGATAGGATCATAGGATATTGAATTACCAGTTCCTTACATTTATCATTGCCCCACTCTTCTACATGTAACTAGTTTCTGTAATACGACTAACCAAGAGCCAAAAGACAACTAGTAATCGATTTTCTCTCACCATGATGAATGAACTCCAATATCCAGTGGCTGAAATGGCTTTTAGTTTATAGTTAACTAGATGACAGCGTCTTGTCTCTGACTAGCTGGTTATTGTGGATAGATTGTCTCAACAAATCTCGTTGGATCTATTCTCTGCACCCGGGAAGCCATGCGCATCATGAAAAACCAGCCAAAGGGGGGACACATATTTAATATGGATGGTGCAGGTTCTGGGGGATCTAGTACTCCTTTGACTGCAGTGTAAATTCTCATTATCTGTCACTGTAGTTGGTTCTTTTTCTTGTGGGCTGCTACTTATCAACAGATCTCAAATCTTCGTAATGTTTAAAAGTTTTCAATAGTTAATATTGATAATCGCTCTCTTCTAGATATGGGTCAACGAAATGTGGTCTTAGGCAACTTCATGCTTCACTTTTGAAGGAATGCAAACGTTCTAAACTAGGAATCCACACAGCATCTCCAGGCATGGTCCTTACAGATTTGCTCTTAAGGTATATTGGATACATCCTGACTTGTGAAGCAGTACCTTTTATTTTTTGAACATTTGATTCAAGTATTTGTCTATGTAAACTGAACAGACATGGCAGAGATTCAATTCGAAATTAGTACTAGCTACTTCACTGTCAGTTTCTTTTGCATGATACAAATATTTATCTCTTGATAAATGTGTTCGTCAAATATTTGTTTTGCACTTTTGCAGTGGTTCAACCTTAAAGAACAAACAAATGTTTAATATTATTTGTGAGCTCCCTGAGACTGTTGCAAGGAGTCTAGTTCCACGAATGCGGGTTGTAAAGGGAACAGGGAAGGCCATCAACTACTTGACTCCACCTCGGATACTATTGGCTTTAATCACTGCATGGCTGCGACAAGGTCGTTGGTTTGATGAACAGGTAACCTTGATTCTCTGAGGAAAACATTTGTCACATAGTTTCCATCATTATAACAAAAGGGGGTACTGCAGCTAATGAATCCTGTAGCAAGGGAATGCTTGTCGAAGTTCTGTTCTTATGATCCTTTTAATTGATTGCGATCCAGTGTAGTGGACGAGACGGTCTCGTTCTTATATTTAAATTGTATCCGTTCCCTCTTTCCTATTTCCCAAATTTTGTTTCTAATGCAAGAATTGTGCATATCCAGGGTAGGGCATTATATGCAGCAGAGGCAGACCGTATCCGGAACTGGGCTGAAAACCGTACACGGTTCTCGTTTACAGATGCAATGGAAATGTACACTGAAAACACTTTGGTGTCTGTGTTTTCACTTTCAGTTGTTTGTGCCTTCATCATCCTTTCTAGCACAAGCAGCACATTACCCGGCACATGAGACGGCACAGTCATAATCCAAATGCATCAAAGACTATTTATATCTCATGCAAGGAGCCAAGTATGATGCCTGTGATTGTACAAGTGACATGATACGATTCTAAAGTCTAAACCGACCATTCTATGGTTCAATGGTTTGGTTTTTCACCTGCAACCTCTCAGGATATGCATATATATTTAACAATTGGATCTTGTACAAGTACCAGTTGAGACCAGATTTATTGGGTTTGAATACAATAGAATAGGAAGACGTACTATTTTTCATTGAAGCATTCTTTATTCCTCATACTTGTAACATGTATTCATGTAATGATTTAAACTGTAATGAACTTTGGATCATTCATGTTCAAGAACCATTCTAAGATACCTTTTTCGCAAAGCATGTGTTACCTCCAACAGGGGTCGGATGGTTTGCAGAAAATTCAATAGAAAAAAGGCCATTTGAAACTCAATAAGACGGGCCTTTCAGGTGTGGATCGTCTCCACGATGCCTGGAGATGCTAACATGACACTCGGCTTAATCTTTCTTCGTAGTAGCTGTAGATTCGAAATTCCACGTAATAATTGAATACACTTAATTTCGTCTGCCCATATTATGTTATATGATATTATATTATACATTATATATTTACTTATTATTTTTGTATTACGTGTACAGGCTAAAGCCCAAATACCACAATGGTCCAACAATAACCCAAAGACTAAAACATGCCGTCCAGCTACACGTGAACCAGCCCTATAACCCGGTTTGGATTAGGGTTTGTTCGAAACCCTAGTTCTCCTAGCAAGTCAGCGCCGCAGCAGTCCCCCCGAGGACTCCTCGCCACTCACATTTTCCTCTGGCCGTTTCGCGAAACATATCAACATCGTGGGTATCTAAGACTCATCCACAACCAAGCAACATAATATCAATGCGATTAGGACTCTAGATTTGATACTAAAAATATAATTTTTTTCCATTATAAGTAGTGGATGTAATCGACAGAGTTTAGGGACGATTACTAGAGAAAAATTATAGCAAACGCAAGAAATATTCGGAGCATTTATGTAATATTCAAAGGCAAGAAAGAAATAAAATGTATATTTTACCTCGATTCGGCGTTTTTGCTTTGTGCATGTTACATTCATAGTTATTTTTCTTCGATATTTACTTTGAAATGGCCAATGACAAAAAGAGGGTTTCAAAACTTTGATCTCAGATCTACGCCCCCTTGAGGCATTTTAAAAAAAAATAAGTTTGATTTTTGAGAACTACAAGAGACGGGCTTTCGAAAAACAAAAAAAAAATAGATTTTGCCGTCGATGAATGGCGGCAGTGAGGCGGCGCGAGGCGGTGCAACCGCAACCAAGCCTTTGTTCTTCATTTGGAAGAACAAATGAGAGCATTTGTTTAAAAGGGGTATGTGGTTTTGAAAATGAAGAGCAATGAAAGTTAAAAAAATTGTTGGGCTTTATACCCAGCCCGTGCGGTGACCCGCGTGTCAACCCGACCCGGGAAAGGATCAGCGTGTTTCTGTTAATTAATGGGTAAACCGCGATTTCGGTCCCTCTAGTTTTAAAACAATTCTATTTTGCCCCCTGAAATCCAATTGCACCGCGAATTCCTATTAAATTTGGCCCTAAATTTCACTCTATTTTTGATTTAGTCCCTTTATTTATTATATAGATATTTTACTTATTTATTTTTATTATTCGTATTATTATTATTATACATATATATATATATATTAAATTATTTTCATTTGATTATTTTTTATATTATATTTTATTGTTATATATATATATATATATATATATATATATTTTAATATTTTACTTATAAGTCTATTATTACTATATGTATATTGTAATTATCTTTATTTGGTTTTTTTATATTTTATCATTATGTATACTTTCAATAGTTTATTTATATGCCTATTATATATATATATATATATGCATTAATCATTTTTAGTTGATTTTTTATTTTCTTTATTTTTACTTTATTTTTATTTCTTTGATGTTCATTTTATTTTATTTTTTTATTTCTTGCTCTTATTTATTCATTGGTTGTGTATAGATTATTACTTTTTTATTTATTATTTTTTCCTTTTATTTTTATTTTTATTTATTTTTATTTTTTTCTTTGTAATCTATTCATCATTTCACCTTCGTGTCATGTTCTTTATTTCCCTTTGTCCTTCGCTATTTTTTTTTTCTTTTATCTAACACGTTTCTCGATTTTTAAGGACTATTTCAAATCAATCTAAGGTAAGCAATTTGTAAGCAATTTGGATCGTTATTTTACCTTTCAATTTAAAATTACAACTTTCTTAATTAAAGACAACTGAAAATTACGTAGTACTGAAAGGGCAGTTCAAGGGTGCTAACCCTTCATTGACTGTAACCGACTCCCGAATATGAAATATCACTGGTAAAATGCAGATCAGGTAAAAAATAAGGTATTCGGTCAACCCATTTTGTTTAAAATAAATGATCGGTGACGACTCCTAATCCATTTTCCTAAGTCGAAGCCCAATTCTGGGCCCACCCGAAAGACGGTTCCGACAACTTGGCGACTCCGCTGGGGACATGTAAGTGAGTCAGACTAAGGTAATTTCCAGTTGTCTTTTTAACGAAAAGGGTAAGTTTAAATTTTAAGGTAACATTTCGATCCTTATTGCTTACTTTTGATTATATTTTCGAGTAAATAGTTGTACTAACCGTTTTCTAATGATTTCAGCCTCCTAAACTTTTTTTTTCATCTAAGGCTCTATACCCGAGCTCTGAACCTATTTTAAGTGGGGGTGAAAGCGACACATTCATGTGAATTTATTCACCGTATGGGCCTAGCAAGTAACCTTCAGGATTCATATACCTTATGCCTTCGTGTGAATTTATTCTCCGTACGGGCATAAGGGAATGTTTCCTCCTGAGTTTAACATAGTTCACACAAGCTTGTAATGGGCTTAGGACTAAGGGTCTGACAGGCCCAAGTAAGGAGAACTTGGGTACCATTTTTAGAACCTAAACCGGGAGACTATAGAGAAATAGAGCCTACCTCAAAACCTCATTTCAAATCCTAGGATATTTTTACTTTAACCATGCTGTTATTTTTTCCTTACTTTTCTTTCTTTCGTATTTTTTTATATTTATTTATTTTACTAACTTTTTGCATCTGTGTTTGTTTTTTAGCATTTGCATCATAACAATAGGCCATTTATCCCTAAAAATGTGTTTGTTACACACAAAATAATCTGAATTAATGGACAAAGGTGTTGTAATACAAGAGATAAAAAATGTCGAGGCACGACTATGGTCCGAGAAGATTCAGAAAGAGAAGGGAGATAGTCTTCAGGGAAGCTATGTGTTAGAACTAGTCAGTTATGCCTATGTCAGTCTGAAGCAGAACGATGTCCAAGAACTACAAAGTATTTGGGACAGTTGGAAAAGTGACCGAAAGTAGAATTTCAGCCAACAGTATGGTGATATCGCACTCTTACTCCATGTCAAGATAGACGAGCCCTTAATCAGAGCCTTGGTTCAATTCTGGAACCCGGGATACAATTGCTTCACTTTTAACTGAGAGAACATGGTGCCCACCATCGAAGAGTTCACTACACTATTGCAATGTGAAAACATCAAACTCGAGCGACCCAACATTAAACACATCAAAACTCAGTCTTTCAAGAATGCACTGGCTAAATTGCAGGAGTAGACGAGAAATGGGTAATTGACCGGACTCAACGCAAAGGCAGCGGGGAAGGAATTGAATGGATCCACATAAAGCAGCTAATGAATAACCACCCTGATGAGTGGAAGACTATAAACCTTTTTGCACTGGGTCTGTACGGTTTGATTATATTTTTGAAGGCTTTGGGGTGCATTGACGCAACCATGGTGGAGCTGTTTGAACAATTTTCGAGACGAGTCAACCCAGTATCGGCCATCTTAGCCGAGACTTTTCGATCTCTCAACCATTACCGAAGAACCGACAGAGGAAGATTCATTGGATGTGCTAAGCTTCTTCAAGTCTGGATTCACATCCATTTTTGGAAGACTAACGGGGTTGCCTACCGCCGATTCATCACTACCTATTCACCTTTGGAAGAGTTCATCACCATGAAATGTCATGAAGGCGATTCGAAGGAAAAGTGGATGAAAATCTTCACTCATCTTCAGGACCAGGACATTGCCTAGATAGCCCCCTGGTTGTTCTACAGTGACATTATTTTCTGGTGTGGGGATTCTGACACTATAACCCTAATTAGACTATGGGGTAGAGTTGGATATTCTCTGCTGTTGGCACTTCGATAATATGGGGCACGTCAGTTTGTCCCAGCCACATACGGATTATCTACATCAAAGTTTGTGTACCATGGTGCTAACTAAAAGAGGATAATCAAGGAAACAACCGAGTCATGGAGGAAAGTATTCTAGATGGAGGTCGTAGCTGCCAAATATATGCTCACTCCGAATTATTTGGAGTGGCAAAGATTGCGGAAAAATGACAACATCCCGGTGCCAGGCTGTGAGGACACTCGGACCATGGAGGAACATCTCAGGCCTGTCCATTCCGAGCTTGAGATAGTAAAGACAGAGTTTGAAGCTATAAATAATGAGTTGAAACAGAGGGTAAAGGAACTTGAAGCTGAACGCTATTAGTGGAAGCTAAATGTCGACACTCAGAAAGATCGGGTAGACAAACTGGAGAAATAACATAAGAAAGTATGTTTCGAGCTCGAAGACTTGAGAAAGGGGTATCAAGATAAAGTCAAGGATAACTCCAAGTTGAAAGTGACCTCTGAATACAAGAAAGATGAAGTTCACAGCCTGAAAAGAAAGTTTGAGGGGCCTGATGAAAGAGCTTGGAAGGAACAGCTGATGACTGCTCAGAGGCGCTTAGCAGACAATCAACATCATAACCAACGCTTGAGAATCCGGGAGGCTGATCTAGAAAAATAACTTGAGAGAGATAGTAAGACAATAGCTGAGTTAGAAGCTATTGTAGATGGGTTCAAGAAACAAGCGAGTGAGCTTCAGATAGTGCCTTTTGACGGAGGTTACAATGGCGTTTTCGTTGGGAGCAAGCTCAACAAAGGGTGAAGGCCAGAGACGCAGTCATCCGAGACTTCTTGGATCAAGTACAGAGGGCAACCCGTCATCTACACGGCTTGGCAAGGGAAACTGGAGTGGTCCGATAAGGCATACAACCAACGACAGATGAAGGCAGAAGACTTGTCAACCTACTAGAGGATGTTCGGGTCTATAGGATTTAGTATGGATGTACATTTGATTATTTTTATGTCTCTTAAATGATAAAACATTTTTGTCTAAATAATGATTATTTATAATAATGAACACTTTTCTG